TGGTGGCCCAAGGGTTTGTGCCGGCATGAATTGTTCGGGGTCACAACTCACTGCGACAGGGGCCTCCGGTCTTGGCAACTTTTAGACTGGTGGACTTCAACTCCCAGAATTCCCCAGCCAGCTATGCTTGAGCAAGGGGTTGGACTAGAAGACCTCCAAGGTCCCTTCTAACCCCATGGTTCCATGTTCTTATGTTCCATGTCCAACTCCTTGCTCAAGCAGGAGACCCTACAGCAGAGATCCCCAAACTTGGCAAGTTTTAAGACGGGTGGACTTCAACTCCCAGAATTCTCCAGCCGGCAGAGCTTACTCTCTTGCGATCCCTTCCTCTGCAATCTCTCTCCACTTTAGGAGATTAAGAGAGAGAGAAAAGTAGGCCTAGCTGGCTGGGGAATTCTGGGAGTTGAAGTCCGCAAGTCTTAAACGTGGCCAAGTTTGGAGACCCTGCACTGTGGACAAGCCATGCACTGACTTACTGCCATTCTTGCCGAAGTTTTGGGAGATGCCGATTTCACCGTCTTGTTCTTCTGTCTTTTCGTTGCCCAAGTTGGTTGGGGTTTGTTTTTGTTTTTTAAATTATTTTTAATGAACTAAAAGCAAAGAAAAAAGGCACAAAATTCTAAAGGAAGGAGAGGAAAACTGACAAAACGAGGAACAGAAATACTATTCCAAAGGAATACTTACAGAGGAATAGAAGAGAATGTGGCTTAGGGTTCAAATGAGGATTCTGAACTTTGGTGGTTTTCTTGCAGACATTTCGTGACCCAACTAGGGAACCTCATCAGTGCTAGAAGGGAATGGAGGTTGCCGTGTAGGGCAAGCGTATGTAAACAGGGAGCAAACCCCACACCCACCAGCACTGATGAGGTTCCCTAGTTGGGTCATGAAACATCTGCAAGAAAACCACCCAGGACCAAGGATTCCACATACTTACAGACATAAATCCATAAACTAAAACCCCTGGTTCATTGCAATCACCCAGGCCTTTTTTTTTTTAATTTAAATTTTTATTCATTTTTAATTGGCATGAGCCAAATCTGCAAACTATTGGCTTCACTGGAGAGAGTTTGGTTTTTTGTTGCCCGTTTTGTTCCTGTTGTTTTGTGTTTTGTGCCGTTGGATGCATTGTGAGCTGCCCAGAGTTGTTTGGGGTCAATTCCCCCTCCGTCCGCCCTCCTTTCTTAGCCTTCCAAACATCCCTTGTAATCACCCAGCCCTGAGGCTGCTGTAGGCAGTGCTGTTTTCTTTCACCAGAGACACCCTGCAAAGCTCAGCCTTTACTCTAGTTTGCAGTTCGTCGCAATGATAAACATCCCAATAAACGTTCATTGCACATATTTCACGTGCCAGCGTTCCAGCAAACCTCCATTCCAACCAATAACTCTGAGACAGACACCTCTCGAAGATCCTTTATCTGGATAGTAACTAGCACCTCTGTGGAATCCCGAATCTGAAAGTTTTGGGCTTCCTTGGATAGGAAGTTAGCACCCACCCCTCTCCTATAAAAATGAAATATTCTAGGGGAAATATTAAAAAAGGCAGAATATTTCCCCTAAAAAGAGTAGAAACTCAGAAGCAGAAACTCAGCCCCCTTCTTTGTTAATGGGTGGGCCATTAAGGCCTGGGCCAGAATATTCTACATAACAAAGATCTATTCCAGGTAAAGCTATAATAGGAATTGCCCAAAGTCCTTTTCATTACATCCTCATCCAGCAAGGCTCAACCAAGCCTGGGAGTCAGGACAGCCTACAGAGTTGCCCCTGCCTGGCCCCACGGGAGTCTGACAACCAATCAGAACACAAGCCCAAATTGAAATCCCAACAGAGGGTATAAAACCCAGGCACGCTCAGCATCTCATCCCTTTTACTTCTTTTCCTTCACCTTGAAGCCTGTGGTCGTCCTTTTCCCTTTGGAGCTCCAAGCCACGTGGTCCTGCTGTCCACCATTAAACCACCTTTCCAAACAGCCTCCATGTTTCCAGTGTCTTTCTTCCCCGCTTGGAACTGAACCCAGAAGTTCTTCCAACACTTGCAAAAGTCAAAACTACAAATCCATCCCCGATACCCATCATGGCCCGATCACCATCCCCATCCCAAAGTAAAGATTTCCTTTTCTCTACGTGACCTTGAAGCAGCGAAAGAATTTTATTTTGTCTAACTAGAAACACTCAAATGAATTCCACCCCCCCCCTCCCATTTTCCCAAGGCTCAATTGTGGCAACGTGGGAGCGTCATATCTCAACATGGCTTCCAAAGTTGACATCATGTTTGTTTTCCTAAATGCACTAGAGCAAAGATGCCCAACCGAGGACTTGTGGACCAACTCCCAGAATTCCGGGAGTTGAAATCCGCCAGTCTTAAAAGTGGCCAAGATTGGAGACAAGTGCTATAGAATCACACCGCACAAAAGAAGAGGCAATGCACACAACAGCAGCTGTTCTTTCTCCCCCCACCCCGCACTCTAGCCAAGATTATTTATTTTGGGGTGGTCCCAGGAGGGGCAAAAGGGCTGGGCGCATTTTAACTCCCATGTGCAGAGCAGCTGCCAATCTGCCCTCTCAAGGAATGAAATCCCTGGACGCGGATTCTTAGCCGCGCCTCTTAGCGTGCCGGTTGTGGCTGATGGTTAGGGGAGTCCAACCAATGTCCCTCCCCTTTTTTTCCCTCAAGATCGCACAGGTGTAGATGTGGGCTTCCCTTTTTCTCTTCCGCCCTGGCTGCTGTTATTTTCTTCTGCGGTTGCATCAGCCAGCCAAGGAAGTGACACAGCTGCTTGCTCACGACAGAGTCCTCTCCTCTTGCCTCACCAGCCTGCAGAAATCGTGGGCCGCCACCAAAGCAGAACATAGGACTGTCGGGCTGGAAGGGAGCCCAGAGGTCTTCTAGTCCAGCCCCCAACCCCAACCCCGCTCAAAGCAGGGCACCTTATACACCGTTCCAGACAAATGGATGTCCGGCCTCTTCTTGAAAAGCTCCAGTGATGGGGCACCTGCCACTTCTGGAGGCAAGCCCTTCTCAATTATTATCACCGCCAGGAAATCTCTCCTTAATTCTAGGTTGATAGAATCACAGTTGGAAGGGACCTCAGAGGTCTGCTAGTCCAACCCCCTGGTCAAGCCAAGCAACCCGATGCCATTTCAGGCAAGTGGTTGTCCAATCTGTTTTTGGAAACCCCCACCCCACCCCGTGTTGGGAGCCCCAACTTCCAATCTCTTCTTCCAAACTTCCACTGGCTGATTGCTCTCACTGTCAGGAAGATTCCTCCCAAGTTCCAAGGTTGCTTCTCTCCTCCATTCGTTTCCATCCGTCGCTTCTTGTCCTGCCTTTGGGTGTTTGGGGTGCCATCAGGGAGTTTGCAACATCTGGACCAGGGGTCGCCAACCTTTTGGACCTCAGGGACCACCAAACTCGTAATTTTAAATCCTGCGGAGCAGAGACCCTGGGAAAATCCCCAAAATAGTCTGCAGGAAAATTCCCCACCCCGTTTTCCTACCGATCGATCGTTCTTTATTTGGGATCGCAGGATACCGTCTCCAGCTCCGTTCTCAGGGGGAGAGAGAGAGAGAGAGACTTTTGGCTTCATGCAAGGAAAGCAGCAGAAGCCGCAGAAGTCTTTCTTTCTCTCCCCAAAATTCCACCAGAAATGAGTCGTTGCCGGTGCAGCCTCTTGGAACAGGAAGCCTTTCAGGGCCCCAAAGACTCATTTCTGGCAGAGTTTGGGGGAGAGAAAGAAAGACCTTTGCCGCTTTCCTTGCGTGCAACCAAAAGCAGAAGAAAGGAAGAAGTGGAAAGAAGCAGCCCGGTAGCCAGATGAGGCGCATGGGGCGAGTGGGGCAAGTTCTCCCCTCCGCCCTCTCCCCCCTCCCCTCACTACCTCATGATGCTCACAATGCAAGTGGTGCAAGCCTTGTGTTCCCGCAGGCCATGTGGGCAGCACAGCCTTGTGTTCCCACGCAGCCTGGATTAATTGCTTGTGGGGGGGGGGACATTTCTCTGCGGCCCACCAAAATTTTCTCACGGACCACCAGTGGTCCCTGGCCCACTGGTTGCTGACCCCTGGCCTGGACCACAGCCACACCAATTACAGTGCCTGCAACGGTGCAGGCATATACAGAACATAGCTTCGTGATCAAGGGCCCAAGACAGCTGGCGGTTTGCGTTCTGCTGGGCAAGTTGTGTAAAACTGGTTCAGGCAAAAGAAACGTGCAACCCCCAGTCAGTTGTGGGTTGACGAGCCACGATTTGAGGGGGGGGGGGGCCCCTTTTAGCGTCGTCGGGAAGTTAGGAAAGGGCGTCCCGTTTCTTGGCCAATAAAAGGCCGCGTCTGTTTTCAGGTAGAACCGGCTGCTCAACAAACATTGCTCCCTGGCAGTGGACCTTGCCAAGAAACCAGGATTAAAGGGGGCAGTGCAGTCTGCCCCTCCCTTGTCAGAGGCTTCCTTGGGGAGGGGCTTTTTAAAGACGTGCTTGAAAAGACAGGCGTATGCATCTATTATCCGTCTATCTCTGATCTATCCGCTGTGTTTGTCCGTCTATCATGTTTTTCTACCAGTCGTTTTACCTCTTGCTCTCTGTTCGCTATCATCTATCTCTATCACCAATTTTCCATCTGTTTCTATCATCTATTTATAAATAATTTATCTCTTTTTCTGTGTCCTCTTATCTGTATCCTCTCTCTTTCTCTCTCCCTCTCCCTTCCTCTCTCTTATCTATTTGTATTTTAAAATGGCCCATTTCCTTCACAGAGAATAAAAATGCTGTACAGGAAGATATTTATAGAGATATGCACGGTAGCCATGACTGGCTCCTTAAATTGGGTATTTTCCCCCCTGCAGATAAGTGAAAGCTGGCCTTGGCTTTCTCCCAGCTGCCTCTTCCTAGGGACGGACTTTTCTGGGGGTTTCCCTTTGGCCCAACATCACTTCCCCAATTTGTTGCCCTGCGGAGTGTTTGGCCAGCTGCCTCGAGAGCGGCATCGCTCAGTCTCAGCGACTTTTAAGCTGCATGGACTTCGGTTCCCAGAATTCCCCAGGCAGCAGGAGATGGTGAGCGTAACCCACCTTGCAAAGGTGTTGTGGGAAAAACAGGATGAGGAAGGGATGTTATGCAAATCTCGCAGTCTTGCGCTCCTCATAAAACGATTGCTTACAAAGTAATAAAATGGCAGGATAAAAATCGAATAAATAAAATAGAATAATGCACCAAACCAAGAGAAAATGCACCTCTGCTCTGTCGTTTATAAGCAAAAGAATGGAACTGTTGTGGTTTCTAAAGTAAATACTCCACGTATGCTCCAAATGGAAAATTCTACGCTGTTTTGACACTAGGTAAGCAGCTAACAACCACATGTCAGCGTAGAGGAAACGCAAAGATAAAAATAGAGCTCAGGCTAGCAAAAACTAGGTTATTATGGTTAAAATGGAGACGTGTCACAGGTGAGGGGGCTTTTAGGAGGAAGCAGGTGCCATTACAAGGTAGATGTCTTTCATAGGATGCTACTGTGCCAAGGGGGGGAGGGAGCAGACTTGTGTAAAGGGATAAAAAGATTTGCAAATACGTGAATAAATCCATTCCTGCTTCCACGTTATTGCCTCGAGTAGTTCCATCTGCGAACTCGGACTGTTTCTAACAGTGCTGAATTTAAGCCTAGACCACCTTGGCTGCTGAACTTAAACCTGGACCATCTTGGCTTGCTCAAATCGTGGTGGGGTTGGGTGGGATGGGAAGGCGTGAACCAGGCTGAAATACCTCCAGCTGTTCCCCAGTAGGGTAGGCAGAGGACTCCAAAGCACCCCCTGGTGGCCACCCATCCTCCAATTGGGCAAACTTGCCGGCCGGTCGCCAGGTGCAAGAACGGAGCTGGCCGCTAGCCAGAGGACATCTTAGGTTTGGCCACCTTCCTTATTACTGCAGAGGTAGCACGGCAGGCAATTTGCCCTCCTGGAGAGGCATTTTACAACCTCCTGATGAAAAAATGTTATTGGGTCATTCCGACCTCAGAACAGTTCTAAAATTGCTAGATTTGCATGCAAAGCTGATGATTTTCTACCGCTGCACCATAAGAGAGCGTTTTAACGTACTGCACCTCTGTATGGTTTGCCAATTGCACCGGGGCAGATAGGATGGCGCTCCAGAGGGTTAACATCATTGCCCCTCAGAGGATCATGGGTTGCCCTCTCCCCTCTTTGGAAGAGCTTTCTAGCTCCCGCTGCCTTAAGAAAGTTCAAAACATTCTCAAAGATCCATCTCATCCTTGGCACCCCTTTGTTTGAACTATCACCATCTGGCAGACGGTACAGGACAATAATAAAAACAAGCACAAATAGGCTGAAAAACAGCTTCTATTCCGGGGCAGTAACTCTATTGAATTCTGCTGTATAGCGTAATATTAATGCAATATCAATGTATAGAATGTGAAGGAGGTGTGTTTGTGTTTATTTTCATGGTCATGATGTGCACTGAAGATGGTGTTTGATTTCGTTGTGCGAGGTGCGATGACAATAAAGGAAACGAAACGAAACAAAGATGGAACACACCTGTCTGGTGTGTGGCACACAATATGATATGGTGGTGAACAATATAACAGTAGCAGGTTCCTCCTAGCGTGGCAGACTGAGGTATCTGCTATCCAGGGAGAAGGTTAATTTGATGTCATAATTTCGAATACGTTTTATTTATTGGCTCTGGGAAAAGACCCGGGTCTTGCCAGGAGAAAGTCAGATAGCTTGAAAGGTGTCTGCATGACACACCTAACCATGGTTAACTGATCAGGGTTTGTCCCATCTAATTTCCTTTTGTTTTTTTAAAAATAACGTTTCTTCTCTTATTTTCATCTTTTAGAATATTGTTTTCTCAGATTGTAAGCCGCAGGACTGGGTCGTATGACGGGGAGATGGACGGCGAATAAATTTAATATTTTTATTGAAATAAATTTAATATTTGTATTGAACTTATGGAGCTAAGAAACCAGTTGGGTCTGTGTACCAATACGAGTCCCAGGATAATGGTGCAAGATCCAATCTGGGACAAATAATAACCGGATTTTGTTTTTCCTCGAAGATGTTTCGCTTCACATCCAAGTTCCTCAACTCCCAGAATCCCCCAGCCAGCCTGCCTCATGCCGGTTGAGGAATTCTGGGAACTGAAGTCCACACATCCTCAAACATGCCATGGGGAGAATTCTGAGAGCAGAAGCCCACACAACTTAAAATTCCCTGAAGTTTTGTTCGTTTGTTTCCTTTATTAAATTTAATTTAGGTTGAGAAACTCTGCATTGGAGCAATGAACCTGGAGAGGGGGAGGAAACCTGGTTTGTTTTTCCCCTTTCAGGGTTCAGCAAGGGGAAAGAGGCACACACAGAGTGTCAGACTGCCAAATTGTACAAAAAGGGTTCACAAATTTTGGTAAAGGGCAACCTCGGTGCCCCCTTTTGCCCAGCAGTTCTTGGTCTGTCTCATACAACGCACTGAAACAGAACGTAATTAATTGGATTTGTTCGATTAACCGAGGTGAACACGGGCTTGCATTGTTCCTCCAGAAACAGGCCAGGATTTAAATGAGCAACATCTCTCTTGTCAGTGTTGGATGGATGGTTTATTTCAAGACGTCACTTTACTGGAAATTGAATCGCTCAAACCCACTTAATACAGGTGCCTGTACAGCCACGCACGTACACACACACTCACACACTCTCGTGCACACACAGAGACATGGTCCCCTCTTTTGCAGGTGCAGCACAACACATTGACAGGGAGGGCCAGATGCGGAGGGGGCAGCAGACCAGCCACAGGGAGAGCGGAGAGCGGTGGGGCATCAAATGGTTAAGAGTGGGGGAGGGTGGGAAGAGAAAATCCCACCCCCCTTATGACCAAAGAGGCAAGCCGGCCCTGACTTGCCAGCTCTCCCTCTTCCACACGCACCCCACTTTCCAGGCAGGGAGGGGGGAGCAACTGAAGAGACACCCCCTTCCCCAAACGCTTGCTCCCTGCCAGCCTCCCGCTCTGGGTTATGGGGCGAGCAAGTCTTTGATTCGGGGCGCTGGAGAGGAAGAGGACTGGGGCTGGCAGGAAGCGGCAGGGTCAGGTGAGGAAGAGGACCCCAAGGAGGCGGCGGGCGAAGCCCACCTAAAAAAAAAAAAGATCATTCCAACGACTGCAGCATCAGGAGTTGCTTCAGCACCTTCGTCTGGCTGGTTTCCCGGATTTCCCCGGCGAGGAACATCTCGTCCACCACCGTGTAGACCTGCAAAGGAGCAGAGGGGGGCTTGCTGAAATGGGGAGGGGGCAAAGGGTCCTACTCAGAGGAAGCCCACCGAGGATGGCTGCCGGCCTCAGAGCAACCGGAGCAGGAGTGGGATTCAAAGTTTGCAACAACCAGCTCGGTGGGCATGGCCATGCGACTGGTTGGGTGTGGCTTTTGGAGGGGCAGCACCCCCCATTTTTGGGGGGGCCTTCTGGGCCTCAGGGAAGCCTCCTGGGTGAAGCAGTGAGACAGCGAGGAGAATCCCAGCACAGCTGATCGTCGGGAGGGGAAAAAAAAAGAAGAAATACCTTAAGGAGTGACTGGGCGGGAAAGAACGCATTCAGCGATGTCGGGCATGCGCACAATGTTGTGCATGCATGATGAGGACTGACTGGGCGGGGAGGGGATGGGGGGGGAGGAGAAGGGCGGGGCCAGACAAGGGCACGATTTGCCAATTCTCCAAACTGTGCAGAATCGTAACAACCGGTTCTATAGAACCGGTCCGAACCGTAGAATCCCACCCCTGACCAGGAGTCCATCCCACTCCTTCCAGCGGAGTGGTCTTGAATCACGAGATGAACGACAAATACATTTGACCTATAACAGGTCTATTAATTCCATGCTAAGGGAGACAGTCGTTGCCCCGTTTTACAACCTGGCTTGCCGTTGTTAAGTGAATCACTGCAGGGGTTAAGTTAGTGACACGGCTGTTAAGTGAATCTGGCCTCCTCATTGACTTTGCTTGTTAAAAGGTCGCAAAGGGGGGTCATGTGACCCTAGGACACGCCATCATCATCAATATAAGTCAGTTCTCAAAACAACTGGGTGAGCTCTGGTTGGCTGGAAATGGACTGGTCATCGGGGGGGGGGGGATGAGCTGGGGGCAAACCTACACCTTATTTTTGTACCCGTCGAGCACGGGTAGATTTCAGAGCTGACTTGACTTTACTGCAACCGACACCCTTAGTGAAAGAACCCTTTGATTTAACCAAAGGGGAGTCGAGGGTTTCTCTTTCCCAAGGGATCGGATTGGGGCAGGTCTGACACAAACGGTTGCCTTAAAAACGAGTTAAGTAATGAACTCCCACCTTGTAGAAGTTGAAGACCAGGTCAAGCTCGCAGACGTTGTGAAAATACTCGTTCAACACCTGAGGGGAGATAGAAAGAGGGAGGTTGAACGGGGCACCTCAACCCTGCGCAAGAGACAGGGAGGAATGGGAGGCCACCCCTGTGGCCAAGATCACCATGTTGGATACGCTGTTGGCAGGCAGAGCACATGCTGCTCCTGCGAGAGGCATCAGGTACACATTCAGCCCTTTTCATTGGCTAGCCTTTTGTGCGATGATCAAAGGAAAAGAGAAGATGGGGAGGAGAAAGAGGTTTGGGTCACAAGCAATGGGAAAACCTCGACAGAGTCTCAGCGTCAGAAGAGGAGCAATAGCCCTTAGACTTATAGACCGCTTTCCAGTGCTTTCCAGCCCTCTCTAAGAGGTTTACCGAGTTGCCTCAACAATCTGGGTCCTCATTTGATTGACCTTGGAAGGATGGAAGGCTGAGTCAACCTTGGATCGAACTTTCTGGCTGTGGGCAGAGTCAGCCTGAAATACTACACTCTAACCACTGTGCCACCACAGCTTCCTTCCTTTTCATTTTCTTTCCTTCCTTCCTTTCCTTCCTTCCT